AACAATTAAGCTGATTAAATTATTCGACAAAAATGGGTGTAGCTGGAAAAGTTCGATTTGTTTCAAACAAATATTGAGTTATTCATCTCTGATATATACCTGAGAATGATTACTCATACGTTATCATCACATGCGAACTCGGTCTCATTCGAATATATGTAGTTGAGAGCAATAAATGATTAATATTCTTCACATCGGTATTTATATACACTCAGTTGTACAAATAATGATCTGCCTTTTATCAATTATGGTTCTTTTTCAATAACAACCATAAAATATGACTTCGAAGTATTAGTGCAACTCATATATTATTTGGTGAATGATAGTTTATTAAGAAATGTGAATGTTTAATAGTTTGATTATATATAAAAAAATGTATGATTAAATTCAAAAAAGAAAATGTCATTTTGTCTATATCGATTAATAAAGCTCAGCACCAATGAAACTACTAATGCTGCCCTGTCCACCAGCAACTAATACTTTTCCATTTGCTAATGTGGATGCTGTGTGATGCTGTCGTGAGATACTCATATTTGCTATAGTTGTCCAAATGCCTGTTGATGGATTGTACAACTCCGCACTATTAAGCAAATAAACACCAGATGCAACTAATACTAATCCATTTGCTAATGTGGATGCTGTGTGAGAATATCGAACGAAATTCATGTTTCCTGTGATTGTCCAAGTGCCTGTCGATGGATTGTACAACTCAGCACTATTGAGGCTATTACTACTGCTATCGAGTCCACCAGCAACTAATACTGATCCATTTGCTAATAGCACTGCTGTATGATATTCTCGTGCGACACTCATGCTTCCTGTAGTTGTCCAAGTGCCTGTTGATGGATTATACAATTCAGCACTATTGATACTTCTACCGCTGGTGCTATCCTCTCCACCAGCAACTAATACGAATCCATTTGCTAATGTAGTTTGTGTGTGGCGACATCGTGCGACACTCATGCTTCCTGTAGTTGCCCAAGCACCTGTTGATGGAATGTACAATTCAGCATTATTGAGATAAACACCGTTAATTCCACCAGCAACTAATACTAATCCATTTGCTAATATGGATGCTGTGTGTTGTGTTCGTCCAACATTCATGCTTCCTGTAGTTGTCCAAGTGCCTGTTAATGGATTGTAAAATTCAGAGCTATTGTAAACACTACTGCTGTACTGTCCACCAGTTACTAATATTATTCCATTTGCTAATGTGGTTGCTGTGTGAAAACTTCGTGCAGCATTCAGGTTTCCTGTGATTGTCCAAGTACCTGTCGATGGATTGTATAATTCAGCACTATTAGTATTACTGCTACTCATGTCCAATCCACTAGCAACTAATACTGATCCATTTGTTAATGTGGATGATGTGTGATAATATCGTCCGATACTCATGTTTCCTGTGATTGTCCATTCTAGATAAGGCAAAAAAGTTATTAAAAAAACGTTATTTTTTGAATGACTTCGAATTTCTTATATGCATAAGTTGTCTACCTATTGATCACAGATTAAATAATTTCAAATTTGCAATAAACTCCTTTTCGTTTTCATGGTTAAGATAACATTCATTATGAAATGTTAAATTAAATTAATGAAAAACATGCTCTAAAGGATTTCATTGATATTTATCGAGTTCTATCGATCTCGCGAACTGAGAAAACTCAAACACTGCTCTACAATTCAGTTATGATGAATACTGATCGAATTTGAGAATTTCTGTGAAGGTTATTCTACATTGTTCAACATAGTGGAAACAATATGTACTATCACCATGTTGGATGGGGATGGTGTATGTATGTGTCAGGATGTGACTGTGAGTAAGAGAATATAATTCTTGCATCGTTTTCATGAGAAAATCAGTACACTAAGTTTTAGTTGACGGTGATGATGAAAGGTGGTTTTCTCGACTTTGAAGATTCTATTTTATACTTGTACGATATTTTTTTGAATTGTTCAACTCTATACAAATGCAACCTAAAAACATGAGATTAAGTATTGATAAACATGTCTCATGTCAATATTATGTCAACTAGTACTTCATCGTGTAGAATTATTCTCCGATCGTCTTGGGAGTGGGTTAACGTGGGTGATTACAAAAATGATCAATGAGTTTTATCGTATGGAAATGTTTTTATCAACAATGTATTCCCCTGATACTGTTAGACAGAACGAGCATATTTCGACTTCTGACAGGAAATGTTTCCTTATGTTGTTTATCTAGATGGTAAACATTTGATAGCTAAAATCTAAACTTTTAGATGTCACCAGTTGAGCTTATCATCATTTTAGCAACTATAAATCATTTGACATAGTACTGACTTTTTATTGCTGTTGTTGTTGATGTTGACGTTGTTGTTGATGTTGTAGTTGACGTTGTTGTTGATGTTGTAGTTGATGTTGTGGTTGATGTTGTTGTTAATGTTGTGGTTGATGTTGTTGTTGATGTTGTCGTCGAGGCTGTTGTTGATGTTGTTGTTGATGTTGTAGTTGACGTTGTTGTTGATGTTGTTGTTGATGTTGTGGTTGAAGTTGTTGTCGTAGTCGGTTCTATTTTGTAGAAGAGAGTTTAGAATAAACCTAACATTTGGATACGGGTTTACTCCTAACTTCTTCCACTGTAACTATTATATCTGGTATAAATGTGAGTGGACTATGATTGAAGAGTAAATCTTTGGGCAGCTTATATAATAATTGTACTTTTAACATCTTTACTTTTATTAGACCTCTAGTATAATACCATACAATGATATATTATATTTCAATTTGAACTTAAGAAGGAACCGCCTTAACTGATTCATTGCTTTTGGATTTAGACTCTGTGCATAGAGTAAACCTAGTGAAATATGAGAAATCCCAAAAGCATAAGGGCCCATAGGCCTTATTTTTACAGTTATAGGGATTTCACTGGAATTTTAGGCTCAAGCATGGCATGTATCAAAAAAATTGAATGACGATATGTCGTCTTGAAGTTTGGCCCATTGTAAGGCTTTTTGAAGAGTAGAATGCACTGAAAATTTCAGCACAAAAAAGGCCTATAGGCCCATGTCTTTTTGCGGTTTCTCACACCTCACTAGGGCCCACTCTTTGCACAGAGTCTGATCCGAAAGCGATGAATCAGTTGGAGCGGTTCCATCGTAAGGGGACTAAGAGAGTTAGGAGGACAAGAAGGATTCAGGGTATTTCGCAGGCTAACAGGACTACGCGGGCTACGAGAAATAACGGAGACTCATAACATTCAAAGGAATAAAATAGCGTTATTCATAAATACCAGGACTTTATTAGTAAATTAAAATTTTCAAGAATTCCTATACATTCCAGTTTCTTCATGAAGGAAAACTCATTATCTCTGGTACTGAATCATTTTGTTTTGAATAGAAATAATTGTTTTGACTCTCGCTATGAAGTGTAGACTTATATACACTTTCGTTTGTCATAAATATATCAACAGAGTAGTGGTTGAGAGCTCATTCGTCTTCTAACTTTCCCCTAGTTTCCTGAGACCTATAAGTGTTCCTATTCCCCTTAACCCCCTAATCTCTTTAGTTTCTTAGTCCTCTTTGTCACTCGAGTCTGCTTACTCTGAAGAATACGCATAGTCACCCGAGTCATCCGTGTCTTCCAAATATCCTCAGTCTCCTCAGTCCCCTAGTCACTTGTGTTCCCCGATCCCTCTCAGTCCCCCAAGCCCTCTAAGTCCTCTGAGTCCTCTCAGCCCTCCGAGTCCCCTGAGTCCTTTCAGTCCGCCGAGTCCTCACAGTCCTCCGAGTCCTTTCAGTTCTCCCGAGTCCTCTCAGTCCCCGTAGCCACTTGTGTTCTAGGAGTGCTCCCGGTCCTCCGAGTCTCTTGTGTGCCCCAAGTGCTCTCGGTCCGCCGAGT